TGAGATCAAGCACATGGGAATAAAAGGTGAATTTTAATAGGAAAAAACAAACAAAAAAAAATGAAGAGGCTTGAACAATTACTTGCAGAGGAGAGATTGGGGGGTGGGGGATGTTCCACAGCAGCTCATGTGAACAAGGCCTGGGAGTCTGAGCAGACCTCATGTTCCCTGTGACCAACAGTGTGGGGAAGGGACATAGGGGAGGGTGCAGGCTGTGGTACTGGGAGCACCAGGTCCACTTGGATGGAGAGAGGAGGATGTTCTTCATCCTCCATGCTGACTGGACAGTCTTGGAGTCAATCCTGACTCATTCACAGTCAACTCTACTGAAGAAGATCACTGGATGGCAAAGAATTTAAAACCCAAAATACAAGAGGAATGATGGAAGGATCTGGAGGTGTTTAACTTGTATAACAGGAGACATAAGGGAGACCATGATCCCAGTCTTCAAGTATCTGCAGGGCTTTCTCATGGGGAAGGAGCTCCAGGGGACAGAACTAAGCCTGACAGAGGGAAGGCATTGGCTTAACGTGAGGAAAAGAATGATATTGCAACTCTTTATTAAGGACCAGTACATGAGGCATGTACAGGCATCATTTTATTTAATCTTCCCATCACTCCTACCTGTTAGTCATTATGATCCTCAGTGTACAGATTAGGAACGGAACCCAAGACTCAAAGAAGTTAAGTAATTTCCCCAAGATCACCAAGCATGCAAGTGCCAGACGGGGATTTGAACCCAGGTCTGACACTGGGGCTGGTTAGTTCTCTACCTGTGGTTACAACTAAGCCAAGACTGAGCAAAGCCCATCCTGCTTCCACCACACTGTGAAGACTCAGGAGATAGTGTTGCCATTTTTTTTGACAGCTGACAAGGGCTGGTTGTCCCTAGTACTATTCAGAGGATTTTGATTCTTGGGATGTTGGTGCTGGACTAAGAGACAGTACATTTTCTTGAAAGTTCATTCTTGTCTACCTTGAAAATATTGAATGGTCCAGGGGAGAGCATCTGATATTGCTAAAATTGGCTAAATCCGTGCAACCATATAACTATCTAGTTCTTATTCTTTCATCTCACATCCAAGCTATCATGAGAAAGTTTGCCAAAGGCCTTGGGAATGTTGAAATCAGTGAAATCAAGGGCAGAATGGAGACACGATGGTGACTGAGAGATCATAAGGCTTAGGGTCAGATTGACTTGAATTTAAATTCTAGTCATACCAGTTGTTACATAACTTGAAAAAGCCACGTAACTTCTCTGGGTTTTTTTCTTCTCATCCGTAAATTATGTTAATGTAATCTCTCTGTCTCTGTCTCTCTTTGTGTCTCTGTCTCTGTCTCTTTCTCTCACTCACACACACATTCATTGACTTCCTTTTTGTAAGAAATGTAGGGATACCGTAGGCACTCAAGTGGGGGACACTCCCTGGCAATATGGCGCCCTTCCTGGTTCTTCTCCACAGTAAACAAGCCCGCTGGTGCCAA